AGCTGTGTGCTTGCATGTCCATGCGCCTGGTGCACATTGCCCGCGGGCGCTTCATTCAAACATGTTTCTTCTCTGGTGCCAGAACTTACTTTATGGTCTCTCTGACAACTGCATTCGTTGTACCTTTCGTGTATGAGTTATACGTTCGTCTGTAACTGCACTCTCTATCTGGTTTAGTGATAATATTAGATAATATCTTGTTGTCCTCTGTGTAGCTTTTATTCCTCACATTCCTTGTGCGAACCGAACTTGCACGCATGTGTGAGACATGTTCTTACCGTGTAGAAATAGAAACGGTTCTTCAGACCTTTACACCATGAACAAAAACTTGAGCACTTGAACATACAATTCAGCCATCGGCGAACACTCCTTAAGTCCTTCGTGGTCTATGGAACATACTAACTTGGACGTTGAATTATTTGCGTAGTATTGTGTGTACAAACTATTGGATTGCATTTCGTTTGTTTTGTGTGTTTAAAGAATGGTCCTCGAAATTCGATGAAAGAACAACGCAACGAACAACGCACGCAGAAAAAGGGTGCTAAATCTTGGTGGATGCTTTCCTATTGGGGTTGTCAGCTGGGTTATTTTTGTCCAACGTGTCCGAACAGTTTTCTGTGACAAGCAGCTTGCCTCGAATAGATGCAATGCGATTTCGCCTCGAACAGTCCAGATATCTCACCTTGCGAAAACATCTTTTCACCATGAGAAAACTGCTTCACACTTCACCCACGAGCCCTGGCAGGGCAAAGTCCACACAAAAAAAGCAAGAAAAATGCATAGTCGCTGAGAGTCTGGAAGTTTGGAGGCTTAAGATGGCTTAGTCAGGGTTTTAAGTTTTAAACCAATAGAGGAATCAGTGGATTTGTGGGGGGGCCCATTTCCTCCAAGCACCTCACTTCCTGATGCCGCTCGCGTTTGGACTCGACTCGCGTTTAGACTCGACACCGATCGACGGTGATCCGAAGCACCGAGGCTTCCACGGGGGGGACGTGGCCAATTCCTTCGCGGACGCTAAAGGCGCCACCGATCAGCGGCGCGCCGGTCGGCGATGGCTTCGGCACGTCGCCGGTGGCTTCGAAAATTCCCGGAGGTGTTTTTGGCGCGCAAGTGTACATCGAAGGAAGGACATACAAGACAACAACGCAATGCAGTAGCACTCTTTTCATCAGTCCGAATCACTTGAGCACAGTGGATCAATTCCTACGCCTGGAAGAATGGGACTTGCTCCTTTATTCCTCCCCCTGGTCACGAGAACCCTCCGAACCGCCCCGGAGTTGTTGGAGAACTTAACGCCCTCAGGTGCCGAGAACCCCGGGAACAGCGAGCTGCGCCTTGAAGGGATGCACCGAGGAGTAGCCTGCGGAACCGGCGGATGTTTGGGTGGAGAGGAAAGGACGGATCCTTTTTTGGTTGGACCATGGAGCAATCATGATGGATTGTGAGTGTTCGATGTAGGAATCCTTGAGCTCTTTTGATTTGGGGATCCCAACACCAGGTGGGGTCCAGCAATCTCCTTGCGAAGCCAAAACAAGCCCCACTGGGAAGATGATTGTGGTGCTACGAGACTCCAAGGCAGACCATGGATCTTTGATGAGCTTCTTGAGAGAAAACACCATGGAGAACAAGTGCAGTCACCAACATGGGCCCACTCTTTGCGAGCTTTTTGCCACCGCATCGGGATGGCCGATTCGAAGCTCGTGACTCTCTTCCTCACGATACACCTCGAAGATTGAGTGACGAGGTGCTGTGAGGTCCAAACCCCAAGCGACCGGACCGGGGATGACTGTCATTGTCACGAATTCTCTGCTGGTAGATTGAGGGTCTTACAGTTCACCAACTTGACACAACCCACAGCCATATCAGCCGGGTGTGCAACGACAAGTCTTCCATACAAACAATCGACCAAGAACGATGAGGCTGTGGTGCGTAACAGACGGCCCCTGTGCACATTTCTTCTCAAAGAAGCACGATCCAATTTTCATTTTCATCTACTTTCATTTTCATGCCCATCATCTTCATCTTCCATCTATATATACTTCCTCTTCACAGCTTCTTTCTGAGTTCTTCCCTGCTTCCTCGCTTCCTCGAACGCCAAGCCTTCCAGGCCTCTTCGGTATTTCAAGCCCTAAAAAACCTCTGCAGAGGTAGAAAAACGATCATGTTTGAGGGGGATTCATCTATCAATTGAGAGTCTAAGCAAGAGATCGATGGACTTCCGCGACCCATCCTGGGAAGACACCCTTTCGGCCCTGCCTCACTCTCACTCCGAGGCTGTGGTATGTGTGGGAGACCAGCCGTGGGCGTCATGTGCCCGATGAGGATGTCATTGCGGATGCCGTCTGGTTGCCGCAGGCGAACTTCAGAAACCCAATACTGAAGACCGGCTCCTGTCAATGTAGTGTTCTTTTGCTGCGTGTGGCGCATTGGATGCCATTTTGAGGCTTTTCTTTGAAAGATATCGAACTGACCAACGACCAGTAGTAAGTGATACTATCCAACGACCGTCGACCGCGCCTTTGGAAACGCCGCCCGTCGACCGTGGCCCGTTTACGCCGCCGGTCGCACCGCGCTGGTTCGCCGCTTTCGATGCGACGCAAGGACGACGTCGATCGACGGGCACAGGTGGACTGGTCGAGTGTGCCTGGATTGGACTAGGCAGGAGGGCTCCGGGGGGTCAAGCAGACCAGAAAAAGGTCGAAGCCATGATGACTCTTCTAGAGAGGGCCTTTTTGAGGCCCAAGCGGAAAATCCTCTGTTACGGGGAGCTCGGGATCTTCCTCTAAGCTATGCAACTGGTGGGTGTCCCCACTGGTGGACACCCGGGATATGGAACTGGATTGGGGGTGAGTACAGTAGATTGGATGAAGATTTCACCTGGCGGACTGGTTTTGGGTCCAAGTTTGGATTGGCCCCGACATGGAACATCCCTGGATCAACACGTAGATGTAGGCGTCGGTGTGCCAAACGAGTCTGACAAACGAGCCAGATCTTTCGTTCCCGACCCGAAGAAGAAGGGGTGTTCCACGAATTCTTGTGCTTTCAGAGATTTTGGGCTAGGATCCACTCGGAATCCACTGGAACCATTGAACCATTGGATCCCAATCAGGCATCATTTATACTCCCCTGCAGAGGCCCACATGGAATCCCAAAACCACTGGGTTGTAGAGAAAAAAGTCTTCCACGGGTCAATTCTCAGGTTCTATGTTAGTTTGCGCAGGAGTAAACCTGTGAAAATCCTTCCCATGTTTCTGATGAGTCGCCTTCGATCCACAAATGCCGGTCCGAATTTGCCCCTTAGAGCCCAGGCTCTGAGGTCCCTTTTTGGGGGGCGACGTCTGGGTTCAGAGCGACGGACCCAGGCTGTGTGCACAATTCGTGGATGTTGCAGAGAGTGCAAAGAAGGGGTGTGGCTCAAAACAAGGATGTAGATCTGCAGCTCTTGCAAGCTTTGAAAGAAAGGAAGCTTCTATGTATCAAAGAAGTTTTGCCACAAAAGTGAAGGAGAGAGAGAGAGGATCGCAATTTCTACCATTGAGTACTCTTGCGTCAACCTGCAGTTTGAGCCATCTCCAAATTACGCATCGCGAGCTGGGTCTGTGATTGTGGCGCCAACCCATGATAGGCAAATGCATGCAAATACTGAAGATCACTACTGCCGCATGCCGAAGGAACTCTGCAAAAAGTGGCCTTTGGGCGGAAGCAGGAAGCAGGAAGGCAGTAAAGATTTAACACCAAACTAAAAAAAGAGTAAGATGAGTAAGTTGAACTCCAGCCAGTGTTTTGTACTTGCAGGACATTTTCCTCTTTCCATTGCCCAAATCGCTGGAAGCTGTAGGGGGTTCTCACTTCTCTCAGAACCAGGCCCTGATTGCAACCTTTTGTTTGGATCTGCCTCTCGATCCTGTCACAAATCACAATACATTGTTGGTATATCCCTTCTGCATCTGGGGCCCAGTAGGCAGTTCGACCAAGCAAAGGCAGAACAGTATGTGAGTTTTCTGAAGCATCCCAAGTCCTGAGGTCTTACGCCGGTGTGAGATTTCTTCTCATCTCCAAACTACTAGCGATGGCATCCAACCTACTGGCGATGGCCTCCAACCTGCTAGCAATGGCCCTAATAGCAATGGGTTTCTTCTTATAGTTCATGACTTGATTAGAAATGTTCGGTGACCCACAACACTGCGATGCTGTCCACCAGATCAGCACGAACCTCGCGCCAAGCGCTGTGTGCCCAAAAGCGCTGTGTGCGCAGAATTTGGGGGATCTGCGAGGGGGGAGACGAGCATGTGGTCTTTTTTGGGGTGTTTGCCGTGTTGGGGACCGTGTGCGTGGGGTTCAATGGCCCGGGCCGGACAGAAGGATCGAATACGATCGAGCAACCGCAGGTCTTTTGGCTTTCATGCTAGCTGTCGCCTGAAGCTTCAGTATTTAAACAAAACGCCGTTTGAACGCCTTCACTGCACTTTGATCCAACTTCTTTTGTTTGGGGAGTGCGGCTCAAGCAGGAATGAACGGGTTCCGCAAACAAACGAGTTCCGAGTTCTGTGATGAACCCACCGGTGAGAACGGGTCAAAGAGGACGTCCTTTGTCTCGTTTCAACCAGAGACGACCTCACGGCCAGACCCGAGGTTCGCACGGTGTTCGAGGTCGGTCTTAGCACGACCTCACCGGACCAAGAACCGGTGATGTTTCCACTCCAAGAACTCATGGTGTCCATCGATACTCACTGCATGTTCCGCCCGGCAAACGAGCTCCGGAGCTAGCTGGGATTGGTTGAACTTCTAAGGTACTCATAGGCATCTCTTGGATCTGGGAAGGAAGAAAGGACGAGAGACGCACAATGAACGGTCTGAAGGTCTCTAAAGGTCCCAAGACAAAGCAAGCAAATGACAGACAAGAAACCCAAACAAGCAAGCAAACAGAAAAAGACAGACACACAGAGAAACAGAGAGATAACTAAACCTTGCGAAGAAAGGTTCATCCCCACATCCACCAGGCCTGCCGAAGCTATCAACATCTCCTGAGGGGCGCGTGAGGCAGGCTCACCACGAATCCCCGATAGGCAGATGGGCTTCCATTCGAGATTCTATCTCTTGCCACTCATCCGACGCCAACTCTCTAAAGATTGACCAGCAAAGCACCCAACGGTCCACCCCTCTGCGTCTTTTGTTCGACGCACCGCCCGCGCCGCCGAAGTCGGAGCGACGCGACCCGGGCGAGTTGAAGGTCCGGAGTTGGAACAGTCCCCGCGAACAGGTCCTAGGTCCAAGGTGCAAAAACTCATACACCTCAACCAATGGTCCTTATACAGAAAGACTTGGACCTTTCTCTCCTTTCAAGATGTTATGCTGTTAGGTAGTTTTCCTGGGGTAACTTGGTGTTCCCCATCTGAGCGGGACTCTTTCACTGTCCTGCTCAGATTGAACACAGTTGACCGGCAAAGTGAAAGTGAACGGCACATCGACCGGTGAATCTCTTGCCCAGAGGATGGCGAGCCATTGACTCTTTCCGAAAGTGAATTCCTCGCTCGGTGGGTTGACCAATCCATGTTGTTTCACCTGTTAGCGCATTTGCCCCGGTGATCGGCTACGCGGCTAGGTGGTGGACAGTTGAGCACCATGGACTGGGCTCATGTTCTGGTACTTCGTTATGCCCTTGAGGCGATTGATTGATGACTTCCAGTGCATTCCAGAACGTGTTCGAACAGTGGAAGACTTTTCAAGCTTGCTTCCATCCAGTGAGGGCAGCAGCACGGAGAGCTATCAGGCTTGATTCATGTTTCAATTCGATGAAGACTTCATCATCCACCACCCCTCAGCGCAGCAGACTTGGTGGCTCCATGAATGGTCCACCCCGACTGGGTGGACCGACGTGAAATTCGTTTTGATGTAAAGGTTGCTTTACTGCGGACGGTGTTGGTGGGCAGCGACATCATTTCCGAACATCCTTGTTCAACAGCTGTTTTGGTGAGATGGGAGTGAGAGGGGAAGCCCTCTCTGTTGTCTTGGCAAGCTGAGTATGCTTTGAGGATGACTAGGTTGGAGGCCATCGCTCTTAGGTTGGAGGCCATCGCTACTAATCTACTTTTCAGGTCCCTTGGTCACTTCCCATCAATGCCAGGGCGCCCCAACTCTGCACAGCAGATCATGTGGATCGGCTCTGTGGAGCACCACTCTGCTATCCTTGTGGCGCCGAAAAGGGGAGCACCGTGCGAACCGGACATGGAAGAGCGAGCTGCGTTGAGAGTTTCACCGAACGCGGTGTAACGGCCAGGTCAGGTCGGTTGTCCCAATCGAGTTCTGTGGTTTTGCAACCATCAAAGGGTTCTAGTTCTGACAACTCTCATCGGCCTAAAATTCATTCGAAGGCTTTTCGGAATCTGCAGTTCCTGAGAGCGCCTGAGCGAAGGGTTCTTACACCGGCATAGACTCACATAGCGGGTGTTTAGGCTTGTCATCCCTCGCATGACATGATGTCATCCCTGGACCAGCACCAGCATCAGCATGCCACCCGCAAAGCGAAACGCCGATCCAGAGCCCACACCTGCACCTGCACCAGCATCAGCGCGGCAGGAGCACCCGCAACACCAAAGTGCCGATCCAGAGCCACACCATTGCCGTAGCTATCTGGAGAAAAAGGGGGCAAAAATATGCGCATTACGTATCATCACCCACATATATCCAGATATGCGCATCTTCACATTTGCACATATCCAGACATCTTCACAGTTGCACATCTCTCTCTCTCTCTCTCTCTCTTCCTTCTCGCTCTCCTTCTCTTTTCATTAATATGGCCCCACAAAGCGCAACCCCTTCGCACGAAGTGCGTGTCAAGGGTCAAATTCTGCGGGAACGTACCTGTTGTCGAAAAACGAAGGCTCATGCCTGCCAGGTACGCCTCAGTGGAAATTGCGCAAAGTCCATACGCATTGCTGTAAAATACGGTGCAGACTTAAACACCAACAGAACTTGTATGCATGTCTTTCAACTCTCCTGGGCCATTTCGTCAGCACCGACTGGAAGACATCTTTCAAGATCAATCGAGGAGGACCGACCATGGAGAATTCTGTCTGGCGGAGTGAAGGTCTTTTGCAGCGCAAAAAGAACTTCCGAACAATTGGGGGAGTATCTGAGGTATTTCTTGGGGGTGCCCAGTCGGATTGCGAAAGCTTTCAAAACTCTATATCACACAGAATTCAGCATGACTAGTTGAGTCGGCCGCTTTGATTGCCATGGCGATTGGCAAGGAGCGGCATTCAGCTGGGATCGTTTTGTGTTCCGCATTTGGCACCAAGCTCAATGCAAGTTGATGGACTCTTTGCTTTGGCTTTGGTGATTTGGTCTTCGTGCCACATGAAGGAGTGAGTTGGGTGCCGAAGTTGGCTGTGTTAAGCAATCCGAGGAAACAGTTGGTTCCTGGAGATCAGTTGGTTCATCATCCACTTGACCTTCCAATTTCCTCCGTTCTTGTTTTCTTTACGTTTAATGGAACTCTGCCAGGTTCTCGCCTGCCTCACAGCTACTTGGCTTTCAGATGCAGGCGTCCGATAGGCGGATGCCGGTGGGTTCTCGCGGGCCACCGCCCTGTCTCTCAAGTTTCAGGTAGCCGCGTCGTGACGGAAAAAGAGGATGCGTCGCGGGTCTGCCGGGTGGGCCCCGACACCATACGCCGCCGCCAAGGAGGTCCCCACACCGGGAAAACCACCACATATCCCTGGCTTGGACCCACACTCATGAGGCAAGTTCAACCGAAACACTGGAGCTGAACTTCTTTCGACCGACCTCATATGATCGGCGGACGCTTGTTTTTCTCCGCAAAACCATTCTGAAATCTTGGGCCGGCGAGTTGATTCCACAAGAACAGCTTTGACACGACGGCTTAAGAAGGTCAGTCACGTTGACGCGGCCGCTCGATCAAGCGGCCACAAGTAGCTTGTAGGCCGCTACGAATGGATACGAAAAGCTTCAATGCCTTCTGGTTCGTCTCCATTCGCCCCGAAAAAGCCGGGTTCCTCCCCACGAAGTCGCGGCGGAAAACGTCGAAATGGTCGGACGTCGGACGGGTGGGACGCGACCGTTTCTCCATCCAGGCCTTCCTGGTGAACGCTTTGGAACAATGTGATGGCCAGAGGTGGGTGGAGAAACCGTTGGTCCTCTCGCAGTTGGACATGTAACCCTTTGTTTTCCTCTCTTGCAGGTGACGTCTTTTTGGTTGGGCGACGTTATTTTTTGGCAATATCCCGAGGACCCGGAGGACCGGGTGGTTTTGATGTAAGAAAGGTGGTGAAAGGTCCGCTGAAAGGTGGTGAAGTGATGTAAGCCAAACTAGCTATGAAGCGAACAACATAGAAGTGCTTGCCTGCTGGTTGTCCATCGTTGCCTTCAGAATGACAAGGGTGCTTGGCTGTCATTGCCTTCATCTTCTCCAACATGGACATTGCTATCTTCGTTTTTGAACACAGATAGCTTTGAGATGCTTGGTTGGATGCTGTGATCCCCTTTAAAAGATCCATCGACGAAACCATCGACGAAACCCGGGTCTATTTCGGTAGCATACCACTTCCACCTCCTCTGGCACGGTCAAACCCATCGCTTTATCTTGTTTCGTGAAGACATGCAGGCCGGAGACCTGTCAGACAGCAACAGCGACCTGTCAGACAGGGGGGTGGGTGTTTGTGGGAAGTGTCCGGAGCGAAGGCGGACATCAGACGGAGAGATGGCGCCTAGCGCGACGATCCGCGGTGCGCCATCCATGTGTAATGGGTCCTTGGGGTCTCTCGATGCGCTGCACAGCCTGTCATAGTGCTTTTGGGTGGTGTGAAGCCCTGCTCGGCTCGACAGGTTTGGACGAGCTTGCGAGGGAGACGAGACGAGATGGGACGAGTGTTCACATTGTCCTTCTTGGTCGCTGCAAGACCTTCAACGTAGGTTGGAGGCCAACCAACCTAGTAAGCGATGGCCTCCAACCTAGAAGGGATGGCCTCCAACCTGGAAGGCGATGGCCTCCAACCTACTAGCGATAGCCCAAGCTACTAGCGTCCAAAACACCTTCAGTGTAGCTTTGAGATGGTTTGAGATCTCATTCACCCGGATCACCGACGCTCCGATCTCTTCCTCATCCGCCTGGACTGACCCACCGCCGGCGTCGGCGTCGGCGTCGGCCACTGAGGCTGAGGAAGCCAGTGCATTGCTGGAGTCTGTCGCTTGGAGAAGAGGTGAGTTGGGCCGCCGTCTCTTTGAGCTCCCCAGGAAAAACCACTGGACATGCCGTTGGTTGGACATGCTGAAAAAGCCCATCGATCCTTTGCCACGGATCCGTGCAGGACCTGATGCGTCCTTGGACCGAAGATGTGTTCACGGTTGAAACAAACCAGCATCCGTGTGCTTTGGAAGGGACCGTGATGCTTGGAATGCCTAAGAGACCATCGCAAATGGCGCGGTTGTTGGAACCAACCCTTGGAAGTCTTGGTGATCAAATGCTTTGCACCAGCGACATGAGATGTACTAGCGCGCTGAAGCGTCCAAGTGTCCGGGTTTGGCTTGGTGGATTCTTTAGAGTCTGTTCCTGTTCATCGGACTGGGAGGACTTCTCACCCTGTGAGCTACAGCTACGTACAGGTTCCAATGTTGACAGTCTCCTCAAATCATGCCTGAGCAACCACGGAAAAGACATGCTGCTTTCACCTACAAAAGCCAAGGAGGGAGGGGTCCCCTCCGTTGATCCAAGGGGGGCGGCTTGGTAAACTGAAATGCTACGAACGGGGTTGCGTTCGGACGCGAGCTTCTGGCCGTACTACTAGGAACAAGGTTCGCTACGAACGGGGCTCCTGGCGTTCAAGGTCGACTAAAAGGTCCGAGGCTATCCGTGTCTTGCCCAGGCAGATGGGATCAGAGGTGCGGCGGCGATGGGATGAAAGGGAGAGACCGATGTCCTTTGCAGGTTCATGTTGAACGCTAGGGGTGTTGAAAGGGCCTGTGAGTTGCAAGAAGGAATGTGTTCAATGTCCTTTTTCTATCCTTTCTCAGATCCAGTTCTTGCGAAGTTAATAGTGAATCTTGATGAATCTTGCATTCTCCACCACACCATATCAAATCTGGCTCTTCATTTCGCAGGTCCACTTTTCTTTCGCTGAGGCCAAGTGATGCAGCAGGCAAGGCACGCGACTTCAAGTCGTCGGTACCTGGCCGCAGGCTGCCGCAGGTGGGACTCCTTGTCTTTCTACGCTGAAAGACCCCCTTCAGACATCAAGAGGAACTGTGATATCGATACCAGCACTCGGTGGATGGATGGAGATTCCAAGCAGAGCTATTGCTTTCGGCTCTTCATCCCAAAATGGTGCTTTTTCGGAGCTCTAACTCACCGTCAGACCGTCCGGTACCGTTCGCACCGTCAGACCGTCTCTCGTCCGGTCCGTCGGTCGACGTATGGCATGGTCGTGCGCACGACCGACCTGCGGTTGGCTTGGCCTCCGGAGGAGGAAGTGGTGTTTGTGTCTTCTTTCTGTTTTGGTCCGCCCGCTGCGGCAGCCGGCGACGCGGCGACGCTGCGATGGCGGCCAAGAGGCGCTTGCAGGAGCTCTTTGAGAAGTCACTTGGATCGGCTAAGAGGCGTTTTCCTCCCGATCCGGTGGTTTTTCAAGACGTTGAAAGACGGTCCTGGAAGCTCTGAATGCAGTGAGAAGAAAAAGAGTGACGTTTTTGCGTTGTCCCTTTTTGGATTTCTTCACTTTCTTCCTTCTTTTGGTCATTGTCAGCACCATTCTCTAACATCAAGGTGAGGTTGATACAGAAAAAATACTCGATTGCCAACACTGCGAGGGACTGTCCTTTCGCGGTTTTCTGTCACACGATAAACCACTGAGGTATGACACTTCTGGGGATGGCGTGCTTTCAGAGGAGGAGATGATGGACGTCTTTCAGCAGCTCTGCATTTCCAAGGACTGCTGCAGCCATATAGCAGTTTGGAGATGGGCAGAACACGCTCCCCGCCGCGCATTCGTGGCAGTTTTAACATGTTCTGCTTTCTCAGCAGTTGATCCTGGGCTGCTTTGAATCATTTTGCCGATGTTGCCCCCTGAGGAGAAAGCTGCCAGCATCTTCAAGAGTGCGGACGCCAACCAGGTTTGGGGTCTTCTCCGATGCCTTGAGTCCGCTCTTTTTGTTTATGTTTAACGTCGAAGCCCGGAGAAGGACCAAGGAAGAGTCTTTGGGGGTGAACACCGACCATGGGCAGCATCTTAGAATCCCGGGTGGGGATCGGGATTCTTTGCCGGAAGATGTACGAGGGGAAGATTGGTGATTCGACTCGACCGTTTGAAGCACTTGTTCGACTCGACCTCCGGACAAACCTGCCCAGGACCGGTGAGTCCTTCCGTCTTGCGCGCGCCTTGCGCGCCGCGCGGGCCAGGATGGGTCGATTCAAGTGCACGAGTTCATCTCTTGGCTGACCTCCACCCCACCCAGGTACAAGATCAACAAGAAGATCACCGCAGGCGAGGTCTCGAATCGACGACGACTCAAGTGGGAGACGTCCGAAGGGACGTCCGGCCCAGGGTGGAACAATTGGAAACCACGCATTCGTTGCGCGGAGAATTCTCGGTGTTCTTTTTTTGTTTCTCTTTCTGGTGCTTGGAAGGGTTGTGGGCTTCCGTGTGGCGCCTGTCGATGTGGGTGGTTTGAGTGTTGTGGATGTTGTGGTCCCCTAAGGATCCTTGTCCACCCTAAGGATCCGAGTTCCGGACCCTCCATGGCGGTCTGGGTCGAACCCTCTAGTTCACAAGGGTTTGTACCCGAACCAAACCCCTTGTTTTTGAGAGTGTGGATCCTTAGGGCGGATCCCTTTTTGGGGGACCGTGGAGCCACTACGAGCGGATGTTGTGGGCTTTCCGGGTGCCTTCCGGGTGCCTTCCCTCTCGTCCAGCCGCAGACCCCACCGAGTCCAGCAGGAGTGAGGTCTGCGAACTCAGCGGGTATGAAGAGGTACCGTGACTTCTGTGCATTCCGATCCTACCTGGACCTTCAAGGGGTGTCCTGGCTGGAGGTGCCTTAGTGTAGGGGCTTCCAGCCAGGTGACCCCTTTGAAGGTGCTGGTAGTCTCTTCCCACTGGATCCGAGCACCGTTCGCTCTTCAGATCTTTCACGAAGCCACGAGTCGCGAACTACGTTTTTCCTCGACGGCGCGCACGACCACGACGGAGCGCCCGACCAAGACGGCTGGGACGTGAGACGTCGCACACACATGTCCCCGTCGTTTAACACCAACTCAAGTCAGCAGATTCGATGAATGAGACACCTCGGGTCCTTCGTTCCGGTCCCGTTCAGCTCGTCAGGGAGTGGCACCGTCGAAGCAGTGATTACCAACACGAACAAGGCCACAGGACTCCGTCCGAGCGCCGGGAACCGGCGCACGGGCGTGCGGGTGTTCCAACCAGCGGTATGGGACGTTGTCCAGTCAGGAGCATATCAAGATCATCCAACATGTCTGTTGGTTAGAATATGTTCTCGTGACCAGGGGAAACCTCATTTGCAGATTGGAATAGGGATACAGAATGGATTTCACCCACATGAACAATAACTCGAGAACATGTTAGATGTTCATTACTGTAGTTTCCCACGTCCTTGGGACTTTTCATTTTGCCTTACAAGGGCTTGTAAACAGTCTTTTAGAACGAAAGAATTCAAGTTGACCTGACGGGCAGCTGTGATTTTCTTTCTCTTTCATGTGGAGCAAGCTTGGAAGATGGAGGCATGAAGGGCGTGCGTAGCGCGTGGGTCCCGAAGTGACGTCAGCTAGGCAGGAAGTTCACCTTCAACTTCAAGAAATGCCACTTGGATGTTTCCGGGCTTGGCTTTCAGTAGAGTCAGTAGAGTTGGCACCAGAACTGCACAGCCGAAAATCTCAAGAAGATTCACTGAACTGTGCTAGAACCCAAGTGACAACAGCTCTAAGGTGTGCATCGTTTCTATCCGAGGAACATTTTCCTGAACAAGTTGGGAGTATGACAACCCTTTAAGAAGAGTAAGTGGAGGGTTCTTCCCGAGGTCGTGAGGTTGGTCAAGGACCAGTGGTCCAGAAGGAGTTTGTTCCGCGCTTTCACTCGAAGATAAACTTGCTTAAGACGATGTCAAAACGTCCGCTGCTCTCGGCCCTTTGTTCCTTCTCACCTCGGAACTTCACGGAAGGATTTTAACTCGTGAACTCCATCTACCAAACCAACACATGAGGAGGGACTTCACGCCTGGATTGATGAGGGGTCACCAGGGAAGGGATGGGAGAAAAAGACACCGTCTTTTGCCTGACCTCGCTGTTTTGCACTCTTTTGGAGGCCAGAACATGGACTTCCCCTCAGGGAATCCGGCTGAGTTCGTATTGAAGCCTGGCGAACAAGTCACCAAGACCTTGTTGGAGGTGAAGGGTCTTCCCTACCGGCAACCCGGCACATCCATGCGTCGGATGGTGGGTGTGGGGTGGTTGGAGCTGAGGGGGGGTTGGCGGACAAGTCTTCGATTGTTGGACAAACATCATTTTGACCATCGCAAACAAGAGCATGGTCTCTTCAAGAGTAGGTTGGAGGCCATCGCTATTAGGTTGGAGGCTATGGTTATTGGGTCAAACAAGAGCCTGGTCTCTTCAAAAGTTGAAGACTATAGTTGAAGGCGTTGGCCTTTGTGCTTTCGGCGAGCTTCGGCCCATGGTTGTGTTGTTGAACTTGTTTGGATTGATGAGATCCGGATCCAACGGCAGCAGAACATATCTTGGAGCTGAGGTGGAAGAAGTGGTCCCAGTTGCTTGAAATAAGATGAAGCAATCTAGCGATGCCATTGAACAAATTGTACTTCAATTTGTACAGGATTTCCATCGATGAGTGCTCGAATTGCATCTAGCAACATAGTATGCAAAGACCCAGTGAGACTGGGTGACTGGTTCATTTCTCAAGAGCTGGTCGACTTGAAGGCCTTCTCTTGCTTTGGGTTACCACCACGGTTTGTTGAAATCATTGGCGACACCATTGGCAAATCCAATGCCTTTTCACATTCCAACCACTCAGAGTTCACCTCAGTTGCCATGATTGCAAGGCCAAGGTTTGACATCCCTCCCTGGAACCTCCAAGAAGACTGTTCCACCACCACCTCACCTTTTTCCGGGCGCGGAGCCCGGCGGCTCGCGAGCTCAACCAGCTGGACCAGCGAGCGCCACCGCCGGTCGACAGGTACAGCTGGTCGATGTCGCATCGCTCGGAGTTCACGGGCATCGAGGATGACCTGTCCAAGGCGTTTGTGGATCCGGAGTTCCCCCACGAGCCACCGGGCTGAGCCTTGAAGAGGGACACTACTAGGGGCTCCTGGCCTTACTACTAGGAACAAGGACGCTACTAGGAGCCACCGGGCTGAGCTTGGAGAGTGGGACAGCATTTTCTTTGAAGCGCCGCAACGCGGGGGTTCTAACCCAGACATGGCCAAGTCTTCGCACGAAGCCGCACCCGTTGGCCTCCGACACGGTCGCTGAAGACACGTGACGTGCTGCACGTGCCTTCCCACCGCCGCTTCGCACACGTCTCCACTGCGTGGACCGTTTCGCACGCGTTTGTGTTCCTCCGCCCCCGAGCCGCGCCGCGGCCGTCTGCGACGGCGACGGGGATCTCCGGATCTCGTCGACCCAGGCAGTGCAGCATCGGTGAGTCCTCGACGCAGTTCAAGTGTGGCAGTGCAGAGATGTGGATCCGAGCACGGATGCTGGGAGATCCCAGCGAGGCCACCCTCTTCGACGAGGTGCGACACGACAAGCGTGGCGCGGCGCGCGCGCACCTCGTACGTGGTGCTACGTGGGTGGGGTTTCCATCCGGGGGTGTGGGAATCTGCGGCAAGCTCGCGAGCTTTGTCCATGTCTTTCTTCTTTTTACCGTAAGGATGCTGCGGTTAAAGGATGCTGAGGTTTAGCATGAATTTGGCTCGCCTCATGTCTTGAAGGGCACATGCACCTTTGGCTACCAAACCGCAAAGAAGATGTCTTCAAACAGTGCTACCCTCTATCCAACAAACATGGAAGTAGAAGACGGCCCGGTCAAGTCAGACGGATCTTCGTCCGCGCTTTGGGGGTCGGCGTCCGCGACCCTCGCGATGGGGTTTCGTCCACGAGAGTCGAGCTCTCAGGTTCGACCTCAAGACGTCTTGCAGGGAAGCTTGGGCGACTGTTGGCTGATGAGCTCCTTAAGCTGTCGCTCAGCGCGAAACACTCCCCACATGGGCTGCGGGATGACCGTCTTGGTGTCCTCCAGTTCCGTTTCCGAAAAGCCTCCGGCACCCCTTTGTGACTCCTGGTAGTGAAACACTTCTCCAATACAATCCTTGAAGTCTTCAACAGTAGAAGTGAGTGATCGAGACACCGGACTTGGCATGACCAGCTGACGGCGCCGCGCAGGAGAAAAAGGCCTGCTCAGCCGCAGCCAGGAAGAACACATCTCCTGGTCTCCATGTGTTCATATATACTAGGCTGAAATGACAAAGGACTTGTGAAAACTACCTCCAAATTGGCCTAAGTCATCTCACCCTAGTATAGTTTCTCTCGGGCAAAACGGAATGCACCTCCCTTGCATTGCTCGATCGCTGCCCGAGTTTCTCGCCGGCGGTTTTCAGCGCGAGAAAGAGCTGAGGTTTAGGGAGTCATCCGCAGAAGCTGAAGAGCCTCTTCAGTTCAAAACACCTCACTGAAGATGGCAAGTATAGTGTTCCTTGGAGAAGATGGTGGGACTGTGACTGCTAAGGATGGGAGAATGATCGAATTCAATGGGCAAACGAGTGTCACCAGAGTGAAAGAAGTTGCATGGACTCTGGAAGACGCTGGTTGCAGGACCCAGGAAACACGTGTCTTCACGTAACACAGAACTGAGAAAAGAAGGGCATGGATGGGCATGGATACCAATGATTGCTTTTCATCTCCACGCGGGCATGAAGAGGACCAGTTCCATTGAGAACATATATCAGACAGATCGTTTTTTGCACCCAAGAGCATGTGATCTTCACTGCAGGGACTTCTTTGTAGTGGCAGGGAAGCCCTGTCCGTCTGGAAGACCGTCCAATTCGTCGGCGACCGTGCTGTGACCGGTGTGATGTTGGCGCCTTGAGATCTGGCTTTTCGACATCGAGAAGAGCGAGTGGACGTCGGTGGCCATCGATGAGTTCTTGCCATGTAATGTGCGCTACGGCGTCCCGCGCGCGGAGTTTTCAAAGCCTTTAGGGGAAGAAATCTGGGTGACTCGGCAGCAAGGTCATGGTGAACAATTCGGGAAAAAGGTTCGCGGTAGTCTTTTCCATGCGTGGCTTACATGAGAAGATTCCCACCCTTCCTTTGGGCCTCTTAGGTTGGAGGCCATCTAGGAGGTAGGAAGGGAAGGGGAACAGCACCTCGGCGATCACATCGCCCCTGTTTCGGAAGCGCCGAAAGCACGTGGAAGGAACGCGTGGCCGATCCAAGATGTGGCCGGGAGATTGTCGCGTGGTGGTGTGCTACGCACTCGCGTGGTCGCCCCTGTGGGACCACGCGAGTGTGAAGGAATGCAAAAGACAGACCTATCTCAGAGGGATGACTCTTCATACTTTGGGGCTCCAGGCCTATATTCAAAGATAACACTTTATGTCACGTTGAAATGGGCCAAGTTCGGCCAACTTCTTCAGTCTCAGAGTGATCCTTGGCAGAACAGGTGATGCTCTTGGAGAAGGCCATGGCCAAGTTCTGCGGCAGCTACGGCGCTCTGTCAGGCGGCGGCTGTGCTTGGGCCTTCCAGGCCCGGCTGAATAGATCAAACGAAGCATTTGTTCCTTCAACCAGGAAATCTACTAGGAATGGCCTCCAACCTAATAGCAATGGCCTCCAACCTACTAGTGATGACCTCCAACCCTGGACACGGAATAGATCTGAGACATATGACATATGGCTTTAAGATATCTCAAGGCTAGAGCAGGAGAATCAATGGGATATAAATGTATAATATAACCATCTATTTAATAGCATGTGCTGAACAACCAACTATTGTTTTACTAAGGATTTTCCACTACAAGGCCAGATCAACCATTTAAAAAATCAGGTCCTCACAGGGAAGACAGATGTGATCTCCTACGCTCGTGAGCGGGATGGCACCTGGCGCCGGCGCCGGCTCAATGCCAGGCGCGAGGAAAAGGAGGGCGGAAAGGGCAACGATGAACGTCGCCCCAAATTTGTTTGTTTATTTTTTCAGATATGGCAGAGCTATTGGGGCTGGAGGCCATCACTAGGGTGGAGGCCATCGCGGAGGCCATTGCTAGTAGGTTTGAGGCCAGGGTGGAGGCCATCGCTAGTAGGGTGGAGGCCATCGCTAGTAGGGT